AAAAAAACCAAAAAAAAAAAAAAAAAAAAAATCAACCATAAAGCTGAAGAAAACTAACACCACGTTTCAAATTAAATTATATATCCTAAAATGAGCATTTGGAAGTATTTTTAAACACCTAAATCATAAATATAAAAACTAAGAACAGAAATGGCCCAAAGTTGAAGACTATCTTGGACATATGACCAATATTCACTGTGTCCCTTTTTTGCCAATCATAACCTCAACCATGCCACCCAAGATATAAAGAAACTATCAAGCCAAAAACTAAAATCTAGGAACACAAACTTTCAGAGGTTTACCCCCATCACTTCACTGAAATTTTGGAACTGATTCATGCCATACACTTCTCTACTTCTAAAACTCCATGCACTCAGCAGTCTCGCCTATGCCCGAAGTTCTCCTGCTTAACTCCCCGCTTTGCTCTAATTCACTTTCAGTCCTAATTCCAAATCTTGCCTGTCTATCCACTTCTGAACTCAGTTTAACAGTAACCCTTCCCAGTCCTTTCCATTACACTTCATTAAACAACAGTTCTGTGGTGAACAAAATGCATCATTACTCTGTACCTCAATTTTTCTCTCAATTAATTTTTTTAAAATATATTTTTGTTGATTTCAGAGAGAGGAAGAGAGAGGGAGAGAGAGATAGAAACATCAATGATGATAGAGAATCATTGATCGCCTGCCTCCTGCACGTCCCCCACTGGGGATCAAGCCTGCAACCCAGGCATGTGCTCAGCCTGGGAATCGAACCATGATGTCCTGGTTCATGGGTTGATGCTCAACCACTGAGCCACGCTGGCTGGGCCCAATAAATATTTTTGTTCCTGGCACTGTACCAACTGCTGGAGCTACAGTGAAGAATAAGGTATAATAACCAGCCTTTCGAGAGAGTCACACACATAAGTACATAGCTGTGATAACTACAATGACAGAAGTACGCAGAGAGGAATTCTATAATAGTCTGAGCATATTACCCCTTTGCTCAAACATTTACCACAAAATGAAAGTTCAAGTGTCTAACCCATACAGGCCTTCAAAACCTATCTACTCTAGTCTCACCTCTCTCTCTCCCACTACACCCGTTGTATTACGGGCACCCCAGTCTAACTGGCTTATTCATCCCCAGTGCAGGCAGGCTGGGATGGTTCATAATTATCTCCTTGCTCTGCCGCTCAGGCCCTTGTGTAACCCTCATCTGCGAGACACAGGCAGGGCCTGAGATCTGCCCGTAACCAACAGAACACGGCAAAGGTAATGGAATGTCTCTTCCTTGACTGTACTGTAAGACTGTAACGTCCGTCTTTCTAGCAGATTCTCTTTCCAGCTTTGACAAAACAAGTTGCCATGTTAGAGACCCACGAAGCAAGGAACTGACAGTGGCATCCAGCTGAGAGAGAGCTAGAGACTGAGGCCCTCGGTCCAACAGCCCGAAAGGAACTGAACCCTGCCAAAAACCATGTGAGGGGCTTAGAAGCAGATCCTTACACCAGCTGAGCTTTCAGATGAGACCCTGCCTTTGACTGTAGAAGAGAAACTGAGCGGAGAATCCATGCTCCGGCTTGGCCGACTCAGAAACTGAGATAATCAGTGCTTGCTGTTTTTCTTGTTTTTTGGGTTTTTTAGTGCTTGTTGTTTTAAACCATCCAGTTTGCGATGACTTGCCATGTAGCAAAATGAACACACATCCCAGACACATTACATTAACATTTCTTTGTTCATGTAAACTTCCCAGACCCAAATGTAAAGTAGCCCCAACTCCTACACATCTTCCATCTGCCATGAAGCCTCCAACAGCCCGCTCTCCACCTCACACACTCCGGAACCCCAACCCACAAGCTTCCACTTAACCCTGGGACATAGCTTTCCTTGTAATATAGTTAGTGCCAAGGAACAGTAACCTGAATAAACTGAATAAAGCACAAAGCCACTCCTACCTGATTGAGATTAAGATTATTTTCAATACTCAGAGGAATCAGATGAGGCAATACTTTCCCAGCCAGCTGCTCTTTGGTGATTCCCAACTTCTTATGAGTGAAAGTACATTTGTAAATGCCTGATAAAAGGAATAAGTTTATAATTCAAATTAATAGAAATTAGAAAAACAACTTATCTACATGAACTCTCCTGACAATCGGTACAGTTACAAGTTTTCCCTAGTGCTTAGGATGAGGGTGCTCCTACCTGAGGCACAGAACGATCTCAGCTCTGCCATCAGTTTAGATGCAAACACCGTGGCATATTTATCCTGCATTCTTTGGTTTAAGAGCACATTTAACAACGGTGTATCACTAAAAGCCTATCAGAAGTAGGAACAGCCCTTATAGCACAGCAGTAAGGTTACATCTACCCTGAACACATCTAAGGATGTATTTCGGACCTCACACTCAATGGAGGCATCCATGTCAAGTATGCAGGTATCGCTCCTACACATATGATGCTCCACATGTCTGAACCTTAGTAACATAATTCAGCTCCACACGATCCCCCCCCATGACTGCCTATTGACTGGACCTCTGAGACTGCTGGCTACACCTATCCCACAAAGCCTTCCCTTGGCCAACCGAGCACATTTACTCCCCACTCTCTAAAGTTTGTGTGTTGTAAGCATTTTGTACATAATCCGAAGCTGGAAAGCACACCATCTCTTATTATTCTGTTAATGTACACTTCACTTATATACTTAAAGAATATCTTTACTGAGAACCTACTGAATGCTTATTTGCTAGGCACTATGCTATTACTTTCTCTTCAGCTGTCTCACTGAGTTCTCACAAGACTCCATTTATAAGGATTTTTTGTCATCCTCATTTGACAGATGAAGAAACAGATTGGCGCTAGGGCTCTTTCCACTATGACAAACTCCTTTCTCAAGAAGACTGATTTCTTTGAGCTCAAAAGTTTCATGCCATGTCCCTAAAAGTTCTACAACTCCAGAGGTCCACAATAAATTACTTGCTGACCATTCCTACAAATATTTACTGACGGTTTTCTATAGACCAGACACCACAGTAGATGTTAAAAATACATGGCTAATATAATTTTTCTTCAAAATTAACAAAGAACTTCAAATTTAGTAAAAAGAGAACTTTTTGTTGTTTTTGTGATTCCATAGTTATGTCTGTTTCTATTAGTACAGTAGACCTCCATCATTTCCAGATTGGACTCTCACAGTTTTAACTATTTATAAGCAGTTTCAGAGTTTCTCAACAAAGTAATCTGTAATTATACTGATAGAATAGAACGTGCTGTAGGGCTAATATGCTTCATCAGCACATCCCTTAGCAGTGAAGCACAGTGCTTAAGATTTAAACATATATAAATTAAAAACCTGCCCTATCACTTATCAGTTCTGTAATCTTCAAAAACTTACTTCACTTCTGAGCCTCAGTTTACTATTGTAAAACAGAAATAGCAGTACCCATATCTCACTGGATTTTGGAGAAGGCAAAATAAGATAATGCAGAGAAAATATTTAGCATAGTGCTTCTTACAAATTGGGTACCAAATAAACATTAGGTATTACCATTAAGACCAGTATCAGTATTTCAAGTAGCTTTGCTTGCCTCCTTTTTGGTACCATTTTACAGGGAAAACTATATGCTATCATGGTATTTGTGAAGCTAGGATTCCCAAATGTCTCATTCCTTTGTAAATGTCAAGGTTCGACGGCTTTTGCTGAAATTAGCACAGCACAAAGAAAAGCTGCATCATGGCATTTATCCCATCATTCTTCAATTACTAAATGCTATATATGGGAAAGGCAAATACAATGGTTCTACAGAGTGAAAGTTTTATTTGCATGACTTTAAAATGATGAAGTAGTATCAAATGACATTAAGTTTTCAGCTACCTAAAATCCCCATGAGGACTGCAGGTTCCTTGGATGGAATCTGTTGTAAGAAGGGCAGGATGTCATCAAGTACAAACCACTTATCCAAGTACTCCAAAATCTTCCCTAAGCACACTAATGAATTGACACGAACCTATTAAAAGAGGTAAATTGCATTAGTCATTTAAAGTCTTTGCCATCTAGAGCAGAGTATTTAAGTGTAAACTTAACCTTCACATTGATGCATGTTAAAGATAACTCAAGAATAAAAGGAGGCTGAAAAGTGCTCATTCTTTATTAACACAGGAAATTCACATACTTACTAACCCCTGACTGGTTTCAGAAAAAATTTATAATGGCTTTACCAGGACACTAGTCAGCTAAAGATAAGGAATGACTTCAATCTTGTATCATTTTAAATAAAGTGGTATGGACTTAAGAAGCTTTACTATGTGTGTTTACCAAGAACATTTCTTTGGGCGAATCTGAATCATGAAAAGGACTACATTCTCCCACCAAGTAATCAATTTTACTGGGCTTCCAGTATTTTTCTATAACTCAGGTTCAATTCATTCTTAAACTAAATAGTTTAACAACATGTAAAGAGAATCTGTATTTGTCCCATATGAAGTTTTACATTTCTAAATACATCTTTAATACAGTTATTAAAACCTGATATTCAGGAGCTCTTTTATCAAAATTCTATCATTTACTTGATTATTTTGATAAATATTTCACACTATTTTTTTAGCTGGAATTTGTTAAGATAGAATACTCTAAGCCAGGATCTTATCAATAAAACTGCACTTTTCAAAAAAAGTGAACTAAAAAAAGCAGAAAACAATTTAGTTTACAAAGCACTGTATTTCTGCAAGAAAAGTGAAAAAAATTTTCTGAAAAATAGTAATTGTTTTCTGAAACTCAAACACAAGGGATATAATAAATTCAAAATGATATTTAAAGGCTAAACTTGCTTTAGTTTTATAAAAGGAAAGTTGTTGCATTCTTTATATATGTAATGTGTCTATGTATATATACACATATATACATATAAGAAGGAACTAGAAAAAACAGTTTACTTTCATTTTTTTTTATGATGTATAAAATATTAGTCATGTGAGTCATGAAGAAATAGAGCTCTTAGAGCATTTTACCTAACTCTGCATAGAATTTATTTCTTCTTTATTTTCAGGGGACTGTATTAAAATATAATTTTAACTCATGATTCATTTTTCAGGAATTTCCTAGCTAGAATATTTAAACCTTACAGGTCTATGTCTATGAATGCAATTCAGAAATCCACACTTGCCACTTGAAAGGTAAGAGCACTGAATGTGATATGTAAAATGCAAATCCATTTCAGTTACTGTCTTAAATCCATTCATTATAATTCCTTATAAAGAGCATGCTTTAAGGGCTCGGTTGGCATCTTAAAAAGGGATATAAAACCTCTGGGTATTACAGGCCATTTAAATATCCATGCTTCCCACCTCACTCTGCATACATCCTTAGAACTGAACTAGGACATCTGCTTTGACAAAATGTATTCTGCTGTAAAATATAGTATGGCTTATGTGGTTTTTTTAAAGGGCATTCTGAAAACTGAGTTTTAAGCTATATATCACTACCTACCTCCTTTGAAAACTTAATCTTAAAATTGGGAAATTTCAGAGAAATGGACTGCATTTCAAATCCTTTTAATATTGATGAAGAAAGACACTCAGAGAGGTACAGTGACTTTCCCAGGGCACAGGGATAATTAGTAGCAAAGTCAGAATAAGAACTCAGGTTTTTTTTACTTCTTTTCTTATATGTTCAAGTCAGTAAACAATGATATTTTTTTTCCTACTTTGGTGGTGTTTTCCATCTCAGAGCCCTTCTACCAGAAAAACAAAAACAAACAAACAAACAACAAATAAAACATGAACTAAAATGGATTAGAGGTCTGTAAGGTAAAAGCACGTCACTTAAATTGCTTTTGCCTCTAAATCTATTAAGCTATAAATATCTATTTTTATTTAAATTCACATTTCACCAAAAAAAATGGATGAGATCTCAAAGACCTATCTTTACCCAATACGAACTTAATGATATGGCCATTATCAAACACCAACATTCGGACTGATCAAGTGAAGGAAGGACATTTATCCCTTTTTTCTAAAGCTGCTATTTGAAGAGTGTATTCAATGTTACTTCTATAAGGAAATTCCACTGAGATCACTCTTATGACTCAGAGTTAGAGAGAAGGTTGGGGACATTTATTGCCTCCAATATGAAATAACGAGAACTTTGTCATTTATTCTACCACCTTGATTACCAAGTAGCTTAGTATTAAAATTCTGTATTCAAGGAGGCAACTACCCTTACCCCTAGATTTTCCAGTGCAACTGTTTTCCCCACTTGTACTCTTATTAATTTATTGTATTACTGTACCCTTTACTTCTTTTGAAAGTAGGCAAGTAAGTAAGGGATAAAAAAATTTAGAGTAGGTTGACTAAAAGTAAAGGCAGTTTATAAAAGGAAGTCGTTCAAATAGTGTTTAGGCTTATACACCAAGTTAAACTCATGATTACTTTAAAACTACCAACAAAACAGCCGTTAAAGCAGAAAAGGGTTAAGAAAAAGAAATCACGCAAGTTTTCTATGGAAGCACCCAAAGTTAGGGGAGAGGGAGTGGGATCAGGGATGTGCTACTGTCAAATTATGTATCAGGGAGGATTACAGCTAGTGTTCACTTCTATAATACTACAGGGTACCTACAGCCATGACAAAATACACAAATAAGCTATAAAAGGGTTATTAAACAATAATAAAATTTAAACCAATGAGAAACAAAAGAAAAACAAAAATTAATATGCAATTACTTACAGCAAGGGAAGATGTTTGTAGACATGCATTTTTAATTCTTGGTATCAAAGCATTTTTCATGGATGGGTAGTCTATAAGATTTGCAAAGGTTGGAATGATGTTTAGACAGAGTTCCTATTAAGAAAATTCAGTGGATCAATCTTAGGGTCTCACCTTTTCTCTCACATATTAAAAAATATTCTGCATTTGCATGGCTAATTTGTCACATTGTTTGAAATAAACTTTTATGTACATTACATCATTTGGTCCTTTCAACACTATTTGAAAGAATAGTTATTTTAAGTTTTCAGTTTTACAGATGAGGAAACAAGCTAAGGAGACCTCACTCAAAATCACACTAGGTCATAAAACTAGCATATGACACCAAAATTCCCTGGTCTCATTCCTAATTTCTTTCCCTGATAACACAAGTCTTCATTTGTTTTTAAAAGTAGGAAACTTCGAAACACCTAAGTTTTGCTATCTTTCACAAAGAGGGAAAATTAAAAACGAAGTTATGTAAAACTATTCCTCTTAAATAAGGGATTTCTTAGCTATTACCTATATCCATATGATGGAACATAATATAAACATTGTTTAAATATATTTTAAAAGACTGTATAATAATATTGGGAAGAAAATGCAGTAAGACACGATTTTATAGTCCCAACTTCTAAGATGTGTATATACATGTGTCTGTCTCCAGGCTTAGGGTAGGACTGGAAGGGTATACCTAGAAATGTGAACTGTGGGCATCTCGAAGAGGATTTTTATTTTCTTTACATTTTTAAGTACTTCCAAATTCTAAAACTTAAGCAAGTATAATTCATAGAAACAAGAAAAAGTTACTTCAGACATTCTTGTTAACTAATGTCATGCCATAGTGTAAATAACGGGAACTGGGGACCCTGAATGTGGGTAGCAGGAAAAGCAGGGTAACTGAGGATAAGTGAAGTGAGGTAAGGAAAAGAAACCAAAACTGGCTGAGAACTGTCTGAAGAACATCTCAGATATCTTATAAGGGCCAGAGGGATCTTTGTAGCAGAGCACAGGGGAAGGGATTACTAAAGAAAGTAGAAGTACAAATGTGGATCAGAGGAGCTATTGACAATATCTGGTAAACTTAAGCACACTCATTCCTAGTTAGAAACGAGATAACTACTAAGAATCTGTTATCAAAACACTGGAAAGCATTTTATTTTGACTTCTTATCCCAGACTTTCAAAAGGCAGACATAAGAGAGTTATCTGTTTATCACATCCACCCAGAACTATAACAATTAAGTGGGTGGCATTACTGAGGATAAGACATACAAGCTAAGGAACCATGTCCACAGATGGGAGGGAATGAACAAGGGTGAGCAGTCAGTGAGATCCCGCGCTCCTGCTGCTGGAGAGCACCTCCTTAAGAAAGATCAGTCTTTAATTATAAGGGGAGGGGGGCTGAGGGGAGAGAGAGAACTATGGTAATCTAGCAGAAGGTTACAAAGAGGCAAATCTTGAATTATGATTAAATCACTTAGCAAAAGGAGGGGAGAGTTCTCTCTCTAGGAAGAGACAGGATGAAGAACCCAAGAACAGGAGACTGAAACAAACAAGCAAAAACTCAAGGAAGTCCAATTAGCACTTTCTCAGGAGCTTCTGCCTCATATTTATACCTTTTCTGTAATCAGTGGTGGGAAGAGAAGGATGAACATAGCTTCTATGTTTAATTTTAAAGGTAAATAATGTAAAAAAAACCTGATTCAGATATATTTCTATTAATGCCTTTAAGGACCCTAACTTTGTAAACCATCTCCTACTTTTCCAAATGTTTTTCTAATCTCTCTAGCCTCTTAAATACATTAAACGTCTACTTTAAAAATATCACTGCAAAAATGAATTTCAGAGGTTACTTTCTAACCATGTGCCTGCATGAAGCTTGAGGAAGACTTTTGTTTCTTGCTCTTGCTCTAGGAGTCTCCCAAAGCTTAGACAGGCTTTAACTTCATCAGACTCTCACCAAGCAAGGTTGACACAAGTTAACTGGACTGGTGACTAAACACTTACAATGAAAAATATCATACATGTTGGTTTAACTATTTCAATAAAATACTGGCTGACACCTACTGGCAAAACTAACCCCTTATTAAGAAAATGGCCTTTTTATGGCACTTAACCTTCCCTCTCCTTCCTAATCTCACTGAATATAAAAGCAGGTTGGCTACACAGCGCCTGTGGGGATGCTTCAAGCAGCTACACCTGACAATTCCTTTGGACGAGGCTAAAGCAGCAGCACACCTTCCCGCATCATCCCACGTGATTTGGACAAAGGCAACAACCCTCGCCTTTAAGAAGGCATGACCTTATAAAAAAAAATTCTCACCTCAACTTCACAACTTTGAATATAAAAAAAGAACTCAGCAAAGATTGAAATGCATCAAAAAAGTGACCTTATACATGTGGATCAGGTACACATTAACAAAAACAAACTTTGGTCAATAACTTTTAAAAATTAAAATTCTATGTTTTTCTTTGCTATAATCTGAACAAAATTTCTATAGTAGCAAAGAAACTATAAACTTTTAAATATGAAACCATTTTTATAGTGGGATGTTCTTAGCATAAGTATTTATTTTCCAAAGTAAAAAAAATATTAAAAAATTAAATTACACTTTTAATAGTAATCCAGAATTTTTTTCTAGACAGATAGCCCTAGAACAAAAATTTTAATAGCACAGCTACAGAACTAAGTTTGGCAAAGCACATGATGTTTTAACATTACCTCTGTGACACAAAAGTATGACTATGAATAAATTAGGAATGATTATACTAAATTACTGTTTGCTTTTCTACCTACCTTCTATACAAATTAGCTTTAATGCAGAAGGAATATTTCTGAATAGAAAATTAAGTTACCCAGCATGAAAGAAAATTAGGAGTATGGGAAGAACCTACTTGATGTTTTCATAAGAAAAAGCCACATATATATTTGACTTATTCATATGTTAATTACTCATTTAAGAAAAAAGTATATAATAAACTACAATCTATCAAACCTTCCAGAATAGCACATTTCTGATAAACAACAGCAATGAATCATTTTACTTCATTAACACAGGTATTTGTCAACTGATTCTTAAAATTAGTTAAGAAACCTTCCATTGTGTGAGAACACAGCAAGAGGTTGGCAGTGTGCAACCCAGAAGAAGGCCTTCACTAAAACCTGGCAATGCTGGCAACCTAACCTTGGACTTCCAGTCTCCAGAACTGTGAGAAATAAATTTCTACTGTTTATAAGCCACCTGCTCTGGGTATTTTGTTATAGCAGCCTAAACTAAAGCAACTATGTTTGCCCTTCTGGAAATAATCATGACCTGGGTCAGGAGATCTGGACTCATCCACTGACATGGCCCCCCTCCCTCCTGGTCCTTAGTCTCCCCACCTTTACAGAAGGGAGAGAACCACATAATTTCCAAAGGACCCTCTGGTTCCTCCGACATCCTCTGGATTCAGTGGCTCTACTCTGTGACTGCAAAAAAAGCTTAAATTGGGTAGACAAGGCCCTTCACACTCAGGAGATGACACCTGTGGGCTGCACCCTTGAAGGTGGCAGGCAGGGAGGGGAGGTTAGTGAGGGAGCCTGGGGCAAGCAAGGAATGATGAAGCTATAGGCAGACAAACATATGGCAGAAACAGGAGATGGAAGTCAGACACCTGGTTGTGAGTGTCCCCCCACCACTTAACTACATGACCCAAGCTAGTCCTTTAAACTGAGCCTTCATTTCCCTCTTGGTTCATGGGGGAGCAAGCAATGTTGTCTGCTGAATTGGGTTTTGAACCCTGAGGAGCTAGCTAATGGAACAGGAAGCTGCATCCTAGGCTCTGAAATGATGTCACCTTCAGAAGGAGTGGGGCCAGTAAGGGGAGCCCCTCCCACCCACCTCCCACCCCTGCTGCTCCAGATGCAGTACAGCAAAAGGCGCTGACACCTCTAAACCCAACTCCCCACCACCTGCTATCAGACTAAAGCAAGAAATCCAGACTAGACAAGAGCCACTGTGTTAAAATTTTATGTGAAATTCTGTAAATGTATAGAGTGGCCCGAGGTCCCCTGCCCACAAGGCCTGGCCTGTTGGGGTCTGACACTTAGCACTTGGTGTAGATAGCTGCACTGCCCCGCTCTTCAAACTCTTCCTTGCTGACCCAGAGCTGCTGGAAGGCCTGCAGGGATGCCAAGATGGAGCCACCGGTCCACACGGAGGTCTTCCTCTCAGGTGCTGCAGCTACTGTGGGGTTGTCCCGGGGGCAGAGGAGGCTCAGCTCCCTCTGGAAGCGCTTGGGGAAGCCATCCAGCATAGTGCAGCCACCACACAGCAGCACGTTGGCGGCCATCTCCTCCCGGAAGCCTCCCTCCTGGCAGTGGCCCAGGCAAGCAGCTGTGAGAGCAGGGAGGCCGGGCAGGTTGCTGCCCACCAGGGTGGGCTTGAAGAGCATCTCGGCGCACTGGAAGCGCTCGTGGCCAATGGTGATGACCTTGCCATCAGGGAGCTGGTAGTCCACGCGCAGCTCCTCCAGGCCCAGGCCGAGCTCCTCCTCGGGCAGCAAAGCCGAGTAGCAGCACGTCTTCTTGATGTGCTCCACAATGTGCAGGTGGTCGGCAGTGAACTTGTGGCCAGCCTTGTTGAGCAGCTGCAGCAGGTAGTTGGTGAGGTCGCTCCCGGCGTAGTCAGAGCAGCCCGTCAGGTCTGGCAGCACGTTGCCCTCTGAGATGGGGACCACGTGTGAGACGCCATGCCCACTCTCCACCACCAGCCCTGTGGTCTTGCCATAGGAGTAGATGGACAGCAGCGACTGGGATGTCACGTGCATGGCAGGGATGCCAAAGGTCTCAAACATGAGCTCCGCATACTTCTCCCGGTTGCTTCTAGGGCTGAGCGGGGGGTCGGAGACCAGCACGGCGTACTCCTCAGGGAGGATCTTCATGGCCATGTAGAAGATGTACTCCCAGATGCTCTGGACGCAGTCCCAGTCCACCACAACGCCGTACTTCAGAGGGTTAACCAGTTTCAGAGGTGTCTCCATGTTGAGCAGCTCGTGGCCCACGTAGGTCTCCTTTCGGGCATCGCCCACATCAGCCGCCTCCGAGTGATGCTTGCCCACTGTGGAGGAGATGAAGTAGGTGGGCCGGGGCTCACCTGCATAGCCACACTTACAGTACTGCGAGCCCAGGTCGATGATGAGGGCTTTGACCTTGCGCACGTCCTTAGGCTTCATCTTCAGCTGAGTGGCTGAGCTTGTGTCCCGCATGCCAGCAGCAGGAGCTGAGAGCGTTCCTGCCTCTCCAGCATCACCATGAGCCGTGCCTGTGGGCATGGGGCTAAGGCTGTTCTTCATCGCCATCTGCCTTCCTTGCTCGCCTTGCTAACATGCACACCCTAAAGCTCCTTGGAGAGAAATGAGGGTCCACCTCCAGTGGTGCCGTGGCAACCACTCAGGATTGTGATGTCACTGGGGGCTGGTCCACTGGAGGACTTGATCTTGCTGGGCCTGTGATCTGTCACCCCACTCCCATCCACCTAACTCGACTTTGCTCAGGACAGAGCAGATGGCCAGCAGTGTTAAGAAACTGCAGTCTCAGAGGTTCCTGTTACTGCCCCCTTACTCCCACTCCTGACCCCCTGCTCACTAACTGGATGCCTTTTCCTTCTCTGCTTCTTGGCTGCAAGGCTGATACATATTCAAGCCCTTGCATTAAGCCGGGCACTGTACCAGGCACCTCACAGGTTACTTCACAGAATCCTGTGAGGTAGGCAGAGCTAAGGAAATAGGCTCAGAATTCCAATGACTTGCCCATGAGCACATAGCTCTGGGAGTTTTCATAGTTTAACCCAAGTTCATCCAACTCCAATGCACCAGGTCTCCCTAAAGAATGTGAGGGCCCCGACAGTACTTTCATTCCTTCAGCATTTACTGGGGTTTGTGGTGGATCCAACCCAGTACAGCCTGCCAGTGATAGATAGGATCCCAGACACAACCAGTGCCCAGTCTCAGTGAGAAGATGGAAATGGATGTAGAGGAGTTTGTAGGTGAAAGTCCACTGGGAGAACAAATGTCTTGAACATGAGCACAAAGAACGGAGCACTCACTGGAGGGAGGGAGG